TGCGATTGTGTGATTGTTGTGGCGGTGGGGATAGAGTTAGGGAGCGTGTGGAGTGCGAGCATGGGGGATGCGCAGCACGCGCGGTTGTGTACAACGACGAGAAGAGATATGAAATATATCCGGACGAGTTCCGGGACATGTGGAAGTTTCGTGTTGCAAAGTGTGCGGGTGTGGTGGAAGGGGGGTGGGGGTGCATTGATGAGGGGATGGTTGTGGCGTGATGGATGGGCGGTGGGTTGACGTGGTATGAAGTCGTGTGGGGCGGAATGTGGGCAGTGGAAGGCGAAGTTGGGTTAGGGGTGGCAGGGTAGTGTGCGGCCGAGGAAGCATTGAGAAGTGGGTGGGTGTGGCGGGCACGATGATAGGATGAATGGGTGGTGATAGTTGGAGACGATGAGAGCGAGGAGTGGGTGCGCAAACACTCACGTGGTTTGGGACCTCTTGTTGCAGAGAAAAGGAAGGCTCAGCGGAAAGGAAACGATGGGTCGACTCAGAGGAAGGGGGAGAGCCAGCATGTTGCGGAGGCGGAGTTGGAGGGTGGGTGTTTTCGACCTTGGTGTGTGGCATGGTCAGTGCATGTTGGGGTTGGAGAGTGTGGGGTGGGTTTGGGTGCGGAGGATGCGGTTGAAGGCGAGGGAGTAGGGGAATGGGATTTGGGGTGGTGCAGGGGTGGAGCGGTCACAGTCGGGGTGGCGTTGGCGTTGGCGTTAGCGGGGAGTGTGGGTTGGGCGGTGATGATGTATGGTCGTCGGTGAGCAGGGCTGTGGGGGAGCGGTGGTGGGTGAGGAGAGGTAGTATGGCGGATGTGTGGGTGGGCATATGGGCGATGCGGGGTGGTTTGGCAGTGATTGTGTGGCGTGGTGCGCAGTGTCGGAACCAGAATCGTTGTACGAGAGGGAAGATGCGGAGCAGCAGTTGGGCGCGGAAGATGCAGTGGCGGGTCAAGACTCGATGGAGCAGCTTCTGTGGCAAGTGGAAGCGTTGCAGGTGCGGGTGAAGAAGCAGAAGCATTTGCTGAGGAAAGAGGCAGCTGCAAGGAAGAGCAGCGCACCCAGCGAGTCGCCGCGCGCGGCCCCCGGTGCGGGTCAGAAAGGGAAGGCGTCGGTGGCAGCGGTGGCGTCTCCGAGGGGGGTGGGGCGAGGAGGGGTGGCGTCATGGTCGGGCGGGGGTTTGGGAAGAACGAGCTCAGGCGGTGGGCTGGTGCGGCGGAAGGCGTCAGATTATGACATCAGCAACATGGTGATGCCGGTGAACGTGGGCGGGATGTTTGTGGAACAAGTGCGTCACGTGGACATCGAAACACCGATGTGGAGGGTGGTGGACGACGCAAGTCCAGGGACGCAGCGGGCGGAAGAGTCGTCGAGCGAAGAGGTAGGGCGAGGGACGAGGAGTGGGTTGGATTGTGGCGGAGACGGAGGGTGTGGATTGGGGGGAGAAGGAATGGGGTGCGTGTGTGATGTTTGGGAGGTGTGAGCGTGTTGCGTGGAGAGTCGTTCCGGGATGGAGTGGGGATGTGGGTGGAGCAGCCGATGGTGGCGTGGAGATGTGGGTGCGCATGATGCACAGGGTGCAGGGAGGGTAACGGATGGAGGGTGGGTTGGTGGGTAGAGGGACGTGGGTTGGGGGGGTTGTGGTGATTGTTTGTGGGGATAGGGCGTGGGGTGACAGTCGGGGGAGGGAGGGAATGCGCCCAAGGTGAGGGGTGATGTATGGGAGGGGTGGGATGGGATGGGATGGGATGGGGACGGCGGATTGTGAGCATAGCGAAGGTGCGTGTGTGGAGGGTGGGGGTTTGATTGAGCGGTGGAGGCAGAGGGTGAGTGCATTAAGAGTGCGTGACGGGGATGTATGGTGTGCGCGCAGGAGATCGAAGAGGAGGACTATCGAAGTCGGCACGCGGCGATGGAGACGGTGGAGAAGCAGCAACGGTACATGCCGGCGCAGAGGAGAAGCGGAGGGGACATTCAGACGGTGGGGAAAGGGAAGTTGAAGGTGGTAGGAGTCGGGAAGGGTGGTGTACAGATGGGCGTGGAGGGGAGCAGTGCGGGGTTGGGCGTTGCGAGTGGTGCGAGCCCTGGTGCGATGGTAAGGGAGGGAGATAGTGTACCGAAAAGACAGAGGTCGAGTCGGAACAGTGGTCGCAGAGCGGGGGTGTCGATAGGAAGCGTTCCAGCGGCGCCGGGCGGGTCCGTGGAGAGTATGGTGGTGAAATGGGAAGCTGTGAAGAGGGTGGAGCGGGATCCGGATACTGGCGCGGATGGCGAATTGTCGGGGTTGGACAGCAGGGACGTGGGAGGCGGCTGGGCTGAGGACCGCTTAGGGGTGGATCGCATGGACGGATAGGACGTGGCTTGATGCTGCCTTAGTGCGTGTTGCCTTTGAGACTACTAGTGGCGTTCTCGTTTGAGGATTTTTTGACCAGTGCACGTTCTGTCGGAGACGGTGATGGTCGCGGAGATGGATGGTCGCATGTTTTTTCTGCTCTGTAGCTGTCTCGCAGGACATAGTGCTGTTGGGTACAGTGGAATATGCTGTGGTTTCGGTGTGGCGAACGCGTTGGATGGTGGACAGAGGGGGTGACAATATCTGGTTAGGTGTGGAGCGTATTGAGATAGTCGAGATAGTCGAGCTGGTTTAGCATGATGCTAGGAACGTTCGTGCGCTTCTTCGAAGTCTTGCAGCACCGGATTCGCTGTTGACGTTGTGTGAAGGTTGTGGCTGAGGTCGTGTAGGTGGAAAAGGTCGGAAGGCGATGTCGGAGTGGAGGTTGGTTGAGGGGAAGTCGTGGCGGGCTTGCTAGCGTGGAATGAGGGTGTGAAGTTTCTGCCGTGACGGGGATTGATGTGGTTTTTGAGGGTTCAGCATTGTATGATGGATATGTTGCAGAGATCATTTCCCAACAAAGTGGGAATTAGTGATTGAAACGGAAGTGTAATTATGTGGTGATACAAATGGTCGGATGTGTTAAGGGTTCGGACACCTTTTGTGGTCTCACACTGTTGGAATGTTTGTAGTGGTCTATATTTCTGGCTTGGTTGGGTGGTTTCGTGAGAATGCTTGTCGGAGGGCAGATTGTTATTTTGTTTAACTTACGCTCATGGAGGCAGGCAGATGTTCAGTGTTAGGAAAGTGGAGTTAGAATCTTGTCCGGGAAGGTTTCGGAGTCGGTGTTGTGTTTGTGTGTTAGTGTTTTTTCTTTGGAGTGGGGAAAGGGGCAGTGGTGGGGGCTGGAAGTTGAAGCAACTGAAGGTTCTGAAATAAGCTAAAGTGGTGACTTCGTCAGAAGGGGAATGTAAACTGTGGGATGGTTCGGCAGTTTTTATCGAGGGTGATGCTTGTACTCGTGGCAGCTCGATGCCGGGACATGTGATGCCATGGACGTTGCTCCTGAGTTGCTACAGAATGTTGGCGCTTGTTCGGAAAGGTGTCGCAGTGTGATGTCAAATCAGCCAGTTTTGGAGTGTTCCTTCCAACGATTGGCACTTCGAGATTTTGGTTTGATGTTGACTTGTGTAGTGATCGTTTTGTTCACTTTAACGCATTGAAAGGATGAATTTGTACTTTTGAATGATTACCATGATCAATGCATCTGTTTTGCGAACTTCTTTCTGAGCTACCACTTACAGTTGTAATATTCTAAACTTATCTTTAGAGTATCCAATGTTCGAAAACAAGTCTTAAGATTCTATCTAAAAATCACTTTAAAATCCAATTTCCAAATTGAATTTTTACATCCCAATATGAAGACGTGTAGAACACCTGTGTGTTTCTTTATTCTCTATAAATATATTACATATTTAGGATATCCTACCTACAATCTAATATTTAATCCACACAAGTTGTTAATTGCTGATATTTTCCAACTCTTTGTCTTCTTTACATTCCTTTATTTTGCTCTCTCTTTTGTCCAATAAGAATCCAACGTTCAATTCAATAAAAAGATTCCACATGTAGTCATTTGATAATAATAGGATAATTCGATATTTCTACACAAAGAAGTATGAACATCTTTTATTTCTAAAGATATAAATATAGACTACAATTTGAAAAGACAACATAGTCATATACAGAAAATAAATAGAGTCATGTATAGAAACGTAGAAAATAAATAAAGAATATTCACATAAAATATAAAAGAATTGGAATGATTATTTCTAAATACAAAGAAACTAGATAGTTTGAAGTCAAGATTGGAACATAAAAAAAAGTATTAATAAGAATGGTTTAAGTTGTGCCTCTATGTATACTAGCTACAAAGAAGGCTTTACAGAACCATTTTAAGCATCTAAATTATAAATTACTCTCAATGTATCTTAAAAAAAATAAAGATTTTGTAAAAGAGTTTTAAATATCAACATTGCATATCTAGAAGAATTTAAAGATCACAATAAGATCTAAGATTTATTTGTTATTTTTATTTTTATTTTTTAGATATTATCCATCCAACATGTTTCTACTTACTTACTTATTTATTCATTTGCTTATATTTATTTTTATTTACTTATTTAATATATATATTTCTTTAATATAATTTTTCTATTTAAAAACCAATCTCTTAAGATTAATCAAGTTGTTGTTTATGTAAATAATATTTAAAACTTATTTAATAAAATTAGCAACAAAGTTTGATTTCTATTTTACATAAAGATAATTGATATATCTCCTAAGTCATAAACAACAATCTATACAAAGGCAATATAATCAACTAATTCTTTGATTGTTGTTGAGGGCTTTATATCTACCTTTAAATAATACATTCTTAACACTTATTAACTTTAGATATTATACAAACCAAAAGAATATTCTTTCAACAAAAACATACGTGTTAAGAATACATAGACATAAAGAAAAGAGAGATGAAGACTTAATATCTACTATTTGAATTTGAATACTTCTTTAATAATCCTATAGTCAAAGTTCTAATATTTTGGACATAACCTAGTCTTTGCTCCAACTATTCAAAATTTAAGTCCAAACTCTATTATAAGTTGGAAAGGCTTATTGACTATCTTTAATTATAATTGGATCATTATGTCTCTTATAAAATTTTAATTTTTTAATATTAAATCCAACAAAAATTTCAAATGGTCTTACTTAGCATCATTTTTTTTTTTAAGGTTATAATATTATTCACTTTATATCTTGTTATTTATTTAAATAATCTTAATTTTGATTTTAATATATTAAAGATTGAACAAATCTAAGTTCCACATCTAACAATTGTATAAATAATTTAATGAGATTAATAATCCAATCATCAATTTTATATCTTACAAAGAAGTTTTAAGAATTGATCCTTAAATTTATTTTAGTTGATTGATATCATTTATTTTTAATGATTGATCCATGGTTTTCATACATGTTGTCAAAAAAATTAAAAAAAAAAAAAAAAGTTTTAATACATTTACAAGATTTTCAAATGGCTTTCATATGCATCTATTAATATTGTAATATTATCAATTTAAAAAGTATTTTTTGGGCACCTCCTTAAATCCAAGACTTCTTTGACATAAATTTCTTAATCATTATTTATTTTACTAAGAGGTGGTAGTAATTTCTTTTTTCTTGATAAATTGATTGTAATATAAGGCTTTATAAAAAAACACATAGAATTCAAGATAGATTTTTATTAATTGTGGAAATTAAAAATGATATTTAATTAATTTAATTTATTTTTAAATAATAAAAAATTTATTTATTTATTTATTGATTTATTTATTGTTATTTTTAAATCTAATTTGTTACAATCTATAGAATATGTGATTTTAAGAAGTATCTTTGAATGTCTTAAGGTAGTTCTAAAACAAGTTAAGAATGCTCTACTGTTTATTTCTTTGTTGATTTCAATTATGGATATTAATGAGTGATAGAATTTAAATAGAGGTTCATATCTTTTTTAGTATCTTCTTTCCAAAATCAACAGCCCCTTGCCAAGTTTTCCTATCCCCAGCCAATTTTCCACTCCACTTCAATATTTCTTTAATATGGCATCAATGCCTCTTGAACAAAAATATTTTCATAGACTTTTTTCTTTTTTGTACACCTAAAATTGGGACTTTGATTAATCTTTGGTTTAAGCAAAAGGCTCCACTTTTATTATAGTGATCTTAACCAAGTCATTCTTATACATAATTTATACAATATTTTTAGCTAATAGAAATCAAGTTAAAAGCCTATAAAATTTGATATTGATAGCAATCCAACTCTAAACTAGGTGTTATACAATTTTCTTCCACTACTCCATTTTGAAGATACTAAAATAATATAATCCAAGTTTTGAAGTCATATAAAAGGTTATAAAATATGAAATTACTTCTATTGTTTTACAATGCTTAAGTCTTAGGCATTTGTGGCATTTTCCATTCTAAAGCAACATAGGCACTCAATGCTACTAAAACAAGATCTTCTTCTTTTCTACTTTTAGCCAATAAAGCTATTAGACTATGAGTCCTGTGCTACTTGAATATCAAAACTTAATGACTTTCTTTCTTCTAAAATTGAGTAGTTTCTTGGAATAGCTAAAGTAAGATCTTTTTGTCTTCTTCTTTTAGCTAATAAAGCTAATAGCATCACTCTCTTCACTTCAATCACCACCAATTATGAAGTATCTAACTTTCCTAGCGTTTATCACTCTTACCTTGCTTCCAATAGGCCATGATAATTGAATTAATAAGTAATTTAAGTCACAACTTAAAATGCTATCAAATATCTTGACTCATTATTTTTTGATTTAAAAATATGGATCACCATTAAGTCAAGTCAAAGTCCAAACTCAAACCAAGTCTTTATTAAATCTTGTGTAAGTTGCCTTTGTAATGGGCTTCTTGCTCTCCTTTCAATAAGATGCACCTTCTAATCCTCAACTCAAATTCTTTCACAATCTATTAAAGACTTATTCTTATTATTTTTATTTTTATTTTTTGGTTTTGATACTTTGATTTCCACAATAGCTTGCTAAGTTTATCTCTTTTGATGTACACTTTAGAATAAGAGGTGGTAGGAACATCAATCAATCAATATTCATATAGACATAAGAAAACAAACAACATAGATACAAAAATAACCAAATTGCTAGTTTATTATGATAAGAAATAAAACATGGTGGTTTTTTCATAAGACCACTTAAATACCAAAATACAAAAGATTATAAATCTTTAAAAAAACCTAAATTCTCTTGAAGGGGTTCCTAAGCATGACCTCATAAGGTCTTGTAGCACTTTCTATATTAACACCTTATGAAAGGGCAATCATACATAATTAACTATCTATTCATATTCCTATCTTACTGGCTTGATTTAAAATTGATCTATTTCTTAAGAATATAATGGCATATATTAGTGAGGATTTATGGAGTGAGGATATGTTCTTGGCTAATGACCTGACAAAGGTGAGTTTTGGAGTTTCATCTTCTTCCACAAGTAGTTGAAAACTCTATGAGGTATTTATAAGGTCCCTTTCTTGATTATTATTGTATATATAGTTAGCTTTATTGTATTTGACATGCAAGAAGTTAAGTGCTTCTATACGTCTTTTTAGAGTACTACAATCTTCTTAATTTGTTTGTTCTTCATAAATGAATTGATTTAAAGATAAAAATTCAACATTAAAAGAACAATTTTAGAATACAAATATCTATATGGTATTTTAATTTTTTCGTTCATTTGTCCATCATCCATGTATGTCTATAAACATAGGTGCCAAAAACCTACTTCAATTTTTTTGAGTAGTTCATTGACAAACAACTAATTGTTATAAGTCCTAAAATATTAGTAGAAAGGATTTCAAGTTAAAAATTTGGAGCTTTAAAAAAGTACACAAAATCATTTAAATGAAATTAGAAAATATTAAAAATTTATAATTTGTTAGAATATTGTAATGCAAAGATACATTTGAACTTTTTTTTCATCTAATCATAGATGCTATGTTAGTGCCTATTTTGCTATAGCCTCAAAACAATCCATCAAGTAAGAAGCTATAACTTGATAGCACAT